TGTGATTTATATGTGAATCACATGTAATTAATATTTCATATGTGATTCACTTGTGAATTACATGTGTTTCATATGTGAATTACATGTGATTTATATGTGAATCACATGTGATTTATAAATGAATCACATGTAATTCATATGTAATTCACTTGTGAATTACATGTGATTCATATGTAAATTACATGTGAATCACGTATGAATTTACTTGTGATTTACATGTGAATTACATGTGAATCACATGTAATTCATATGTGAATCACTTGTGATTTACTTGTGAATTACATGTGATTCATATGTAAATTACATATGAATCACATGTAACTCATATGTGATTCACTTGTGATTTACATGCGAATTACATGTGATTTACATGTGAATCACATGTAATTCATATGTGAATCACTTGTGAATTTTTGCCATATTATGTGAACTTTCCCCAATATAAAAGCTACCTTATCAATCTTAAATTTTGCAGATTCACATCGTTTTGGTTCATGGGTATTTTGAAATCCATCATCCCCATCAATCGTCTGAAAAAAACAAAAACAAAATTTATTATTTAAGAGAAAAAAACTAAGATGAACATTAATTTTAAAGAAGAAGGAAATTTTAACAAACCAATTAACAGTGATAAATGCAACAGGAGTTTCATCTCCTAATTATTTGTATATACAATACATATCAACCCTAAAAACTACGGCTGAAACTATGAAATTGATTAGATGGAAAAGAAGTGAATACATACTCAGGCGTCGATTAGATTTTTTGATCTGTGGAATGGTCAATGGATGAGACATATCATCTTTCTGTAGCTAATTGATGATCCACAATCAACAAACCCTTGTTGTCCAATATGTTTCTATAGTAGTTGTTGTCGAGTTTCATAGGGGTACCACAGTCATTTCTCACATACTAAACTGCCTTGGGGTCGGGGATTCCATCCGGACACTTATGGAGCATGTGCTCAACATAACCCGGGTCAAGAACCGGGTCAACCTCTGGATACAAACGGTGCACCAACTTCACACAGTGTGTCCTACCCACGTTATGAGAACCTGTTTCAAGAAAACCACCATTAATTAGTTTATGAACTACATTAATAGTATCATGATGCATGATGCATGATGGATGATGATCATGATCGATGATATGTATACCTAGTAAAGCAACAACACCAGGGGTGTCGATGCCGATGTTCTTGAACCTTTCAAGAACAACAGTCATAGATTCATTATGGAAGAACATAATGGGATTAAATCGTATGCAGCTTCCCAAATGGTACAGATTCTCCATTCCACTTCAAGTCCATATGCACAGAGCATTGAAGCAATCCCTTGCGTTGTTGCTTCTATTGCTGCTTCAGTTGTTGGCATTTCTCTCTGCTTTTTAGGGTTTGAATTTCAACAATTGAGATGTTCATCTTGAAGCTCAACTCCTTCAGTTTGTGTAAGAGGAGGAAAAAGCAAAGCAGGTTGAGAAAGTATCTGAAAAAGTAAAGCATATGTAGCAATCCCAGCTCTCATGGACATTGCAGTTCCAATTGCTCGTAAGAAATGCAAATGCATCCAGTTTCTTGGAAGCTTCAAAACATTACAAAAAAAACTATAAATTCTATTTATGTAACTTTGGTTAAATATGTGTAGAATTTTGAACTTACCCTCATGCCAGATGCATAATCTTCAGCAGCTCTAAGGAGCTCAACAAGTTGAACAGCAGCATCAAGAGCATCTGGGGCCCATGATGGAGGTGCTTCTAGAAGTCCAAGAAGAAGCCTTTGGGTAGCACTTGGACTAGCAATTGCATAATACCTATGGAACAACCTTGCATATGGTTCTAAAGCTGTAAGACCTGCAACAAGGTGTTCATCCATGGAAGTTGTTGGAGGTGGGAGTAAAAGAGCAGGAACAACAGCTACAGTTACAAACACTCAATATCACACCAGCACCATTAGCAACTGCCCACCTTGGAGTTGATGGAATCAGTCGTGGATGCTTTCCAGATCCCCTAGAAGAAGCCATCATTGAATACATACAAAAAAAAGTTCAACATAACTCTTATTTTCTTTCTTCAAGTTTATTAACTGAAAAAACCGATTCAAATTATTCAAACAAAAGATAACATGTCCACTTACCCACAGAAGGTGGTTTGAGTTCCCCTCCTGCATATTTCCCCATGACACCACCACACCTAAAAAAGTAAACGAAAGTTTTTTTATGAGTATATATGAACAACATAAGGGCAACAACACCAGGGGTGTCGATGTCGATGCTCCAAAAGAAGAAGAAAAAGAAGAAGGACTTCCATTTTTATCATCTTTTTCAAACTCAATAAGTCCATCCAAAACAATTCCAGAATCACTAGATGTCCTACATGAGACTTCAATTTTAAACCTGGTTCACAATCACCTAACATATCATCTAGCCAGCCTAGCTGTTCTCCCAAAACCAAGCTTTCTCATACAGTTTCCTGCAGCCGTGGCTGATTGCTAGGATCACAATTTGGGAAATTTGTCTTTGAGATTGGCCACCGAGGTGGAATTTGAAGTTGCATTGACATTGTTAACTAGATTTTTTACCCTTATAGATGAAAACAAACTGAAAAAGGAAACAAAAATAGTTTGATTACATTACACATTTTGAATAGTTGACATCTTTAGTCGTTCATTAGATTTAGAAATTAGAATAACAATATTGTCAAGAAATAACTTCTGGAACACTTTAATACATCGCAATATATTCTACAATAGACTCATGAACACATACCTTAATGAGATCAAAAACTCAAAACAAATTGAAATTAGAAATCGATAAACAAATACCTTAGCTAAGAAAAATACAAGAAAGTAACTAAAATCTGATTTGAAACAGAAAAGTTGAAAACATATACAAATTTAAGATAAACTCTTACATGCATTCGATGTGGAGGAAGGAGAAGAAGTGGTCATCAAATCGGATCGATGTAGGAGAGATATAGAGATCTACGTGATGAATGCACGACGACCGAAGGAAGAAGATACACATCCAATAAAGGAGCGTGGAGTGATCGAATTAGGTAATCCTCCACATCAGATCAGATGTAATTGATTTAGGTAATGCTCCAGGATCGTGACACATTCTCATAAAAATCACACAGGTGCAAAACTCACCGATTTCAACAGCTTCTTCATCATCTCTCGATTGCATAACAACACTTTCCGATCTATCATCGATTTCAACAGCTTCTGTGGGTAAGTGGACATGTTATCTTTTCGATATGTTGTTTCTTCGATCAATCTGTCGACGAAACAAAAGATAACATGTCCACTTTCGAAACATTCAAATTATTCAAACAAAAGATAACATGTCCACAACATATCGAAAACATTCAAATTATTCAAACAAAAGATAACATGTCCACTTTCAATCAATTTGTCGATCCAAATCATATTTTCGATATGTTGTTTCTTCGATTCATCGTCGACGAGCTAGAGATTAGAGAGTGTGGATGGTCGGAGGTGGGATGAAAGGAAGAGAGAGACGGGATGAAGAGAGAGAGAGAGAGGGGGTAGGGTGACATGATTCAATCTGATAAGGGGGTATGGATTATGTAATCTCAAAATTGCCCCTGTTTGATTTCAAAAAGGTGCCCCCGTGTATTTTTTCAACTAGGTATTTACAAAAATGCCACAAAGCATCCTAACCTTCAATTAATTTGATCTAACGGTCCTCGTTTAGTTCTCGGGTTCTCAGGAAACTTTGAGTTCTCCAATGATCATATATATATATATATATATATATATATATATATATATATATATATATCTATATATATATATATATATATATATATATATATATATATATATATAGGTTTAGTGAATATAGTATTGTTATATACCTAAACTTATGTATAAAACCACTAAAACAACCTCATTTTAACCAAAAAAGAAATATAAATGAACAATAACTATTTCTTTTTTTTCCATTGTCAAACTAGTTAGTAGCTGAAAGCTAATAAGTACAAGTTGAAATTTGTAACTCTTATTTGTTTAAAAATGTTCACCCAAGTGTTACTAACATTTAAAAATGAAAAATTACCTAAAACCATAAACTATAAGTTTCAAAAAACTATTTAAAGTAATTTTTAGATTGTGATTTTTTTATTTAAAATAAAAGCTAACATTTTGAATTGTCGAATAAAAGTTGTTGTTTAATTTGGTTAAGAAAACTAAACTCAAAACTAAAAATTTTTAAAAACTCTCAAAATTTCATTGTTGATCAACAAAAATTAAACTAACCCGTGAAAGATCCACACTTAAAAAAACAAGAAGTTGTACCGTTTGAAATGCTTGAAACATGCCTATGCATACCTTTATGTTAATTATTAGGTCCTTATCATATGTAAAATGGATTAAAAATCTAAACTTTAGAAAGTATTTTTTAATTTTTTTATCAAAAAATTAATTCATTATTCACTTTGTATCGCAATGAGCACAAACCTCTCTTTTAAGGTTGTTTTAAATAAAAATTTATAGGCAAAGTTGATTTAACTTGTTTTTATATTATAATATCTTGTAAAGTGATAATAATAATAATAATATTGATTTACATAATGTTTTTTTTATTAAAACCGGTAACTATTAAATTAATAATTAATCATTAATGTGTTTGGGTTGCGAAGCTAGAATTATTTATTTTTATTGTACGAAACTACGAAAGAGGTTTTTTATGCCTATATTTGAATATTTAGGCTGTGAGAATGACTGCGTTTGTCCCCCTCACTCACCCCTTCAACTCTCTCTCTCTCTTTCCCCATCCCTTCCCCTTTCCCTGTACTCATATCCTTTGTTTTCTAATCTCTATTCAAATCTAGGGTTCAACTTCCAGAGCTTTGTTTTTCTATAATTTCCCACTAATAAAAAATCCTTACTTTTATATATATATTTTTTCTTGCTTCCATATTTTATAATTTTCTTGTTTTCTGTTGCTTGTGTGTGTTTTCTTTTGATGTTTGTATAATCCATGGCTGGTTTAGATTTAGGCACTGCTTCTCGTTACATTCATCATCAGCTCCACCTCTCTGACTTGCAACTCCACAGTAGTCAACCGGAAAACAACCAACACCACCAGCTCTTCTCCGACGGTGCCCTACACAACCATCAGCATCAAGAGGAGGAGGATCAGGGTCATGACTTGGTCTCCCCGAACTCAGGTGATGGCGGTGGTGGATCAGGTGACATCGTTGGAAGACGACCTAGAGGTCGTCCTGCCGGATCCAAAAACAAACCAAAACCTCCTGTCATCATCACAAGAGAAAGCGCCAACACACTAAGAGCTCATATCTTGGAGATCGGAAATGGTTGTGATGTCTTTGACTGCATAGCAACTTATGCAAGACGACGGCAGCGAGGGATCTGCATACTATCCGGAAGCGGCATCGTCACCAATGTAAGCCTCAGGCAACCAGCCGCAGCGGGGTCTGTGGTGGCTCTCCATGGTCGGTTTGAGATCCTTTCCCTCTCTGGTTCTTTCTTGCCTCCGCCAGCCCCACCAGGAGCCACCAGCTTGACCATATTTTTGGCTGGCGGGCAAGGGCAGGTAGTTGGTGGGAACGTGGTGGGGGAGTTGACCGCTGCTGGTCCGGTCATCGTTATCGCTTCCTCCTTCACTAATGTTGCCTACGAGAGACTCCCACTAGAAGAAGAGGACCCCGAAGGTGGTGGGCTTCAGATGCAACAACCGACATCTCAAACAGATGGTGGCGGCGGAGGAGGGATAAATAGCAACAACCCGTTTCCCGACCCATCTTCCGGGCTACCATTCTTCAACTTACCACTCAGTATGCCACCAAATGTTCAATTACCGGTGGATGGATGGGCAGCAGGCGGAGGAGGAGGAGGTAACTCAGCTGGACGTTCTAATAACAACAATCCATTCTAATATGGAATCGGGTCACAGGTACCCTTAATTTGTTTGGATCGGGTTAATTAGATAGCTTCTTTTGGATCATAAACAATGTTCAGCAAAAATCACGGCATCAAACTACTACTTTCTTCTCTTGTTATCTTTTGGGGTTTTCTTCTTTTTTCTTAATTTCCTGGGATTTTTGTAACTTAATATGTTCTATGAAAATAGTTTCTTAATTTGTGTTCTCTCTCTCTCTCTCTCTCTCTCTCTCCTAATTTTTCTTCAAGGCATCATACTTACGATTTGGGATTTTCAGGATTACTGTATCATTGCTGCGTATAAATTATAATGACACTAAGAGTTGATGTTTCCGTAGAATCAAGCATTAATGATAGAACTTAAGGTTTTTGGGTACTGGAATGTTTTGTTTTTGTTGCATTGTTTTTCAGTAAGAACAGTAAATATAGCTACAGAAATTGACGGATACTTAAAAGTGTAAACTAATCAGGAAATTTGAGATGTTTTATGATATTTTAACAAATTGCTTCCTCCTCACTAAATTGACATGTTTTTTATTTATAAGAATCTATACAAAAGCAAAAGTCTCATTTATTTTTAGATACGTAAGGTTACAATTGTGTTTGCTTGATTCGTATAAAAATTTTCTAAGGAACTCATGCGAATGCTTTGGATCTCTAGCTAATGTACATGTGTGTTTTTTCTTAATAAAGACATGGCATAATTAGTAAAGATGTAGTTCGGCAATCAAATTCATCGAAAAATGTTTAAGGGTCTTTCTTAGACACTAACCTAACGTATCATTGAACTAAGTTTTACTCCTATTAAATTGTTTAAGAAAATCGTTGTATTTATGTAGGATGGAGTTTGTTAATTCGCAGACTTCCAATAATTTTCATGTGGGTATGGATGAGATTAATCGAGTCTTGGAATACAGTACTCAAGGATGCATTTTGGCATCATGTAATTAAGGGAAAGATTACTTGGAGTTAGCCGTGATTATTCTTACTGTTTAAGTTGGTTTTTATTGCTCAACGTAGTGTAAGCAGTATGCACCATTTTCAATCTTTTTTTTGTATATTTAAATGCACACCTCCCTCGAAGTTTTTTGGAAATGGAAATCTTTTTCTGAAAACCATGTCATATTCTCTCTCTCTCTCT